GATTACTACAGTTCTAATTTTTTTATGATGTTTATGAATATAAATGGTATAAAATTATAGGTATAATTATATGTAAAAGGAATAATTTTTTTCTAGTTGCTTCAAATGAATTTGAACCGAGAGACAAGTTATTTTTTCGTTACACTTTCGCTTTCGACTTACATAATAAAAATTACATTTATATAGGATTACACTCGACACGAGATATGACTATTAGATCAGTTTTAGTAGCACACGTAAAATTGAGATAATGTCGAGGAAATGCGGTCACCGAAAGAGATAGTCAATGGGTACTGTATGTCTTTTGTGGTCGGATTAGGTAAATAATTTCCTGTGTAGTTTGTTTTAATGATTACTATCTATTTTACATTTTATAAACGTGAACAGCGCTATGAATGCTTGGATGCGATAAAAATAATTTAACGTAATAAATTTATACATTTTTAGAAATCACATGACTTCATATATTAGGAAACCACAAAGCTCTGGAACTGGACTAAGTCATATTAGGTTACATTGGAAATGTACATTGTAGTAAAATTCTTATAACGACAAAGAACGATTAAAGCGCATGGTACAACAATTAGACTATGAAGCCAGAAAAGTTGAATTGAATATGAACTACGACAAAACAAAAGTGATGGCAAATCAAGAAGAAATGTTAAAATCCTACTTAAATAAAAAAAATGGAAGAAGTGAATAAATAAATATATTTAGAGCAGATAAAATTAAATAAAGACAATCAAACTATAGGAGAACAATTTAGTAATCAGTAAATAACCAATAAGATGTAAACTGAAAGTTGATGGAATTTGTATTGAATAGGTAATGAAAATAAAGTACCTAGGGATTACACCGTCTAGCTATAAAGATGTTGAAAAAGAAGTAAGGGATAAAGTACAAAAAGCAGATAGATTACATGATGCCTTAAACCTATATGGCGCAATCGACACATTGAAATGAAATCAAGATCTATAAGACCTGAGCATTGCAAACATCCTATCCCATCCTATACCATTGTTCAAACATCTTTAAATTGGAAAGTCCATCCCAACTTGTACACAAGTAACCACTTTCCTCTTTTATAACCCGTCCTTTTAAAACTATCTCAATAATCCCTCTCTTAACCCTTAATATCCTGAATTATTATATTTATGAAAAATGATATATTTTATGGTACTTTGTTGTTCGTATGAGTCCTCTGGTCGAGTTTCTGAGATTATTTTCAAAAAAAAAGTTAACAAAAAAAAGTTATTAGCTGTGACTTATATGTCACTGTAGGACATATAGGGAGCAAAATAAGAAAAAATTTGAAAGCTTTATTAAACTATATATTTAAACAAAAAATATGTTTTACATATGTATAGAGCATTATCTTGTATGAAACTGCTCATAACAATCAATGCACACCCACAAATAACACTTTCTACACATAGTTCTAACAACAAAAGTGCAATTTTAAAATGTGCGTCGTCATCTTTTCTTGTTTGGAATATATATCAAGATGTGATCTTGTCTGCCAAATCTGACGGTGTCGCTGGTTCGACTACCGAGACTGCTTGAAATTGAGGGTTTTGGTCGACCTGCACCTTTAGCTTCTGTACCATACTGCATTAGATATGAAGAGCTTTTCCAATAATACCTCTAGAAACCATGTAAATAATGGCCACCACCGTTTTTTGGATCTAATACCAATCCTGTACCTTCCTATATTTTGATCCATCAAGTCCGTCCCTCCCGTCGATGAGTTATATTTTCCTATGAGACATTAAGAGGTACTTGAATAATTTTCTTCTCTTGCTGAGAAAACCTGTTTACGTGTGTCATGGGTTGAATGCCATAAGAAGTAGATTCAGCAGTAACAATATTATTATCGGACCAACGTACAAAAATTATACCTTTGTTACGTTCAATAACGCCACTACAATCACCCCGATCTGTCTGTTTTTGGAAATCAGTTTTAGAGAAAATACCATTTTCTCGCATATTGGACAGTAGGTTAACACTGGTAAACATGTTGTCGACAAAGAGTTTATATGGTAGGTTCCCCTTATTGGTGGGTAACTCACGCAATAATATGTTAAGCAATGGAGCAGTAGCTTAAAATTCTCTATTGGTAAATCCCCAGATGGCAATAATCATTGTTCCTCAAATCGCCGAGAATATCGTAATATTTATTATATTATAAACATGTGTGATGACACAGTGACCACGAAATTGATACCTGATAAATGATATCTGATCAATGAACATCGTTATATCTTAGTAAATAATTCGCTGGGAATGAAATCACGTCTTATGTTTATTTTTGCTGAAATACGGTAGTACATTATCCTAGCGTTGCATATTATGTAATACTGAACTTTGGGGCTACATAGAACTAAGTGGTAGTGATATATTTAAATAAAATTTAAAACATGTAGGCTATGTTCCTTTATGTAAAGCTTAACTTACTTTTTAAGCTAAAAAATTGTAAGATAAAAAAATAAATGTGCTTACTTTAGATTGATGTCCATTTTTTCTAAATATTTATCGACAGCTTATTTTAAATGTTACAGGCACAAAATTTTTGCACACTATGTCTGCAAGCTAGCTAACATGCATTAGAGGAATTGTCAAATTGCACAATACTTACACCATCTATGAGATTCTATGATAAGTTTTCTGACAGGGAGCTGTTTAAATTACACAATATTGCGTAACTTATATGTCACGCCAGTATATTAAGGGTTAAAATGAAAATTGCACCAGTCAAATTGAATACTCTTCTCAGAACAAGTAAATCAAAACCTCAATCCCTCTCTGATCCTACTAATCCCTCACTGACCCTACTACCTCACATATAGCTTTTACTCGTCTATAATTACCTGAGGACTATTGGAAGCAGAATACAAAGCAGTCGGAAAACCAAAGCTCACACGACAGTACCGTGGTGGAACGACAAATGTGATGAGCTATAAAAAAATTCAAGCAGGCTTTTAACAAATTTAGATGATGCCCTACAACACAAAATCAAATAGAATATAAAAAACTTAAAGCTGAGTCTCGCTATAAATAAGATTAAGCAGACCAAAAAAAGAAAACTGGAAAACATTAGTGTCATCCATCAATAACTCCACTCCCCCGTCTACATTATGGGGACAAATTCATCAACTATCTGGAAAACAGCAAAACGCCCAATTAGTTTTTTAAATTATGATGACAAATTCATTCCTGCAATAGAAGAAATCTCAGAAACTTTTACTGACCTTTACGAACAAAATTCCTGCACTAACAACTACTCTCAAGTTTTCTTTAATATAAATTTAGAAATGAAAAGAATGCGATGCAGGTCGCAGAGAAGAACTGGAAGATGCATTAAAAACTTCTGCGGGTCCAGGTGATATACCATTAACTTTTCTCCAAAAACTAAGCACAAACGCTAGAAACTATCTTTTTAACGTTCTGAACCAAATGTGTATACAACATTATTCTCCAAAGTCTTGGTCGGGATCATACATCATCCCAATCTCTAAATCTCAAAAACCGAAAACAGATCCCCAATCATATAGACCAATATCACTAACTACGTCAACTTTATTACCAGATTATAAGATTATATACCGACGCCTTACATGGTTCCAGGAAAATAGAAAACGGCTAATCTATTAGCAAAACGGCTTTCGGTAAAATATATCAAAGACTGATAACCTAGTTGATTTTGAATAAGAGGTTGAGTTTCCCGAACGTACAAGCTGATTAAAGCCCCAAACGTCAAACATGGAACAAAAAATTTCGGTTTAGCGTGTTAGTTGGCATGTTTTTATAATGTATATGCTGTATGCTTCTTCAAATATAAGAGATAAAGCTTTAGCAAAGTACATTTTGATTATATTATGTTATGAATTCTTCAATTTTTGATTTATTTAAAACAAGTTGCCAAATTGCAACAGATGTTTGCAATTAATCTCGAAAGAGACAACTATTTACTCGTTACTCGTTATTTTTTTCACATAAATTAAAAATTGTAGAATTCATAAATTAGTATAATCAAAATGTACTTTTTAAAAGCTTTCTCTCTTTATATTTGAAGCATAAAACATATGCATTATAATAACATTCCAACAATGCCAAACCCAAATATTTTAGTTCATGGTTGACATTTGCGGCTAAATTCAGCTTGTACTTTTGGTAAACTCATCCGAATCCGAAGTTCATGAATACACTCATAAACAAACAACACTGTAGTTATTTTTTGCAATAAAACAAAAGCCTACGATTGTACATGAAGATATGGATAAGTAGTTTCTAAAATTTATTCAAAATGTCCTTCAAATAAAAACATTTAAGGTACCAGCAAATGGAACCATAACAACGAGTTTAAGAAAGACTGTACGCGGACGACCTGATTCTCCTACGAATAAGAGAAACAAATCTGAAATCTACCCAAAGAATTCTTCAAAGCACATTAAATAATCTAATAGTGTAATAACATTATTAGACTCAGTTTCAACTCTAATTCGATTTAGATTCCACATGTCAGTCCATTAATCGTCTGTTTTGCTTTGAAAATTGGAGAGGGCACAGATTTGGACAATTATCTGAATTTTGGATTTGCAATATATCCATTGCTCGTTCTTAGGTGGCGCCACAGCGTTCGTATGTATATTATTTTTATAATTACTTCTTTTGACAAACACGTTTCACGTTTATAGCTTTTACATGGTCACTCTGAGTAGTCATGATGGGCCGAAATACGTATAAGCGAATAGTGGAAGCACTATACTGAAATCGAATCTTATTTGTCTTTTCTGTATTTTTATTCACTCACGTTTTGAGTATGAGAATTCAGTTCGCTAAAGGTTCTTGCCTAAATGAAATTATATGCCGTGGAATGCAAATTTATATTCCTTATGTTAGTCCATTCATCATCTGTATTGCTTTAAAAATTTTAGAAGGCACTGACTTGGGCAATTAGTCGAATTTTGGTTTCGGAATTTCGACTGTTTTGTGTAGAAGTGTACGGACCTAGAACTAACATTCAGAAACTCTGGGTAAACCGCCAAGACATTACGACATGTACGACATTATAAATAAATAGATTTTATAATTTTTATGTTTATAAGTGATTTATATATATTTTTTATTTTTCAGGAAATGGTTCAAGCCAAGGACCCTCCTTCTTATTATTTAAATAAATTACGTACATATCTTGATCCTAAGGCATCTCGAAGTCATAGGGTAAGTTACTTTAGCTATATTTGCAATGGAAGAATGTAATGAAACTAACAATATAACCCTTTGTATATAAAAACATGTATAAGTGCTTTTTAGTTTATCTGTAATAATTTGTATTATTATATTTATGAGTATTTTAAATAATAGTGGACATGGACTGTCTCCCTGTGTTACTTTTTCGCGATTGATTCTTTCGATTACCTCAACCTGTGACTTACAAACTAAGAAGCCTGTGTTACATTTACAATACTCAAATCGGTTGATCAAGTAATGAAATAGTACCTGAGATCTTTAAAAAAAGCGATTTTGCACGCGTAACACGTTTAAAATCGCCGGTTGCTTCAAATATTGTCGTTGTTTGTGAGAGAACTGTTCATTCTACAGAAAAATTGCTAATACACTTTTTTGTTCAACGTTACCTCAGCTACATCTCTTTCTTGTGTTTGAAACCTTTTTTTCATAGGCGTACAGACTCTTACAGGCGGTAAATCGATGTTTTTCGTAACCCCCCTTTTAGGGTCGGTTTTAGGGGGAACCATGGAGGTAGGAATGGAAAACTTTTTTGCATCTTATTTGGAGTCCCAAAATCACATTTTCAGCAAAATTCAGCTTGTTCTTGTGATTTTTAGAGGTTCAGTGGCATTTTCGTCTCTGACGACTACGACTGGAGTATTCTCTCCTTGTACATTTATGTATAAGAATTTACAAAAAGGTATTTACAACAAAAGATTATTTTTGACTAAAAAGATGACAGTTTGATATGAAATTTTATTTTGAACAACTTTTCTGTATAATTGATGGATTCGACCGTAACTTGATGGAAATTCATTTTATGTAACAATTAAACACTGAAAACTTTGTTTTCAAATTTCCACAAAATTTATTTTAACTTATCACTACAGCTGTTTCGGCTGATTGCCGTTCTCAAGTGATCTATTTTTGGCAGGCGTTTACATTTTATAGTCTCTAATGAAATAGATTGAGGAGGGGAGAACTGTTTGTCTCAAGTTGGTAATTCAGAATTATATCTGTGTTTTTTAATTTGTTGATTTCCATAGATTCTAACAGCTTAAGGCCTTTATTTTGAATGTGAAGAATTTTAATTTCGTCATTAAAAGAATGATTGTGATCTAGAAGGTGAACTGCGTATGTAGAATCTGTTTTTCTATTTTTGAAAGCTCTTTTATGTTCTGCTATTCGTTTATTAAAGTTTCTACCAGTTTGACCGATGTAAGTTTTTGGGCAGTCGCCACATTTAAGTTTGTACACACCACTGTGTAAGTGTTTTTTATTTTGGCTCTTGTTGTTTTTGTTATATTTGCCTAGGTTGTTATTTTTTCGGAAAGCTGGTGTTATTCCTTTCTTTTTTATGTGTCTGGCTATTTTAGTTGATATTTTGTCTGTATATGTAATCGAGCAGAAAGTACTGAGTTTTTTTCTCTTATGGTGGAAATACTAATTTCAGGGCTTTATTGTGTAGTTTTTGATTTAACATTTTATTAATTGTTTGTTCGTTGTATCCGTTGTTTACTGCTATTTGCTTGATGATATTTAATTCTCTCTCAAAGTTGTATTTTGACATCGAAATTTCTGTTAATCTATGTAACATACTGTGATAGGCTGCCAGTTTATGTTGTGTTGGATGGGATGATGAATAGTGTATAGTCGTGTCAGTATGGGTAGGTTTATGAAATATGGAGAAGTCATGTTTGTTTTTAAGTCTGATAATTTTTAAATCTAAAAAGTTTATGCATTGATTTTGTTCTGTTTCTATTGTAAATTCAATATGACTATGAAGTGAATTAATATACGATAAAAATTGATCGAGTTGCCTTTTATTTCCTGTGAAACATACTAGTACGTCGTCTACGTATCTCCACCAATATAAAAACTGTTTAAATACGGGATGTTTTGAAATCTTTGTCTCTAGATGATCCATAAAAATATCTGATGAAAACTCCACAGACTCCAACCAAATGCACCCTAGTGCATAGGGACAAATTCACTCCTTTCTCAAAATCGCAACCCTTTAAATGGTAGCACTCAGTGGATTTTTCATATTTAGAGGTCCATTTATCATATGAAACAATAAAACCCCTGTATCCGTTGTTTACTGCTATTTGCTTGATGATATTTAATTCTCTCTCAAAGTTGTATTTTGACATCGAAATTTCTGTTAATCTATGTAACATACTGTGATAGGCTGCCAGTTTATGTTGTGTTGGATGGGATGATGAATAGTGTATAGTCGTGTCAGTATGGGTAGGTTTATGAAATATGGAGAAGTCATGTTTGTTTTTAAGTCTGATAATTTTTAAATCTAAAAAGTTTATGCATTGATTTTGTTCTGTTTCTATTGTAAATTCAATATGACTATGAAGTGAATTAATATACGATAAAAATTGATCGAGTTGCCTTTTATTTCCTGTGAAACATACTAGTACGTCGTCTACGTATCTCCACCAATATAAAAACTGTTTAAATACGGGATGTTTTGAAATCTTTGTCTCTAGATGATCCATAAAAATATCTGATGAAAACTCCACAGACTCCAACCAAATGCACCCTAGTGCATAGGGACAAATTCACTCCTTTCTCAAAATCGCAACCCTTTAAATGGTAGCACTCAGTGGATTTTTCATATTTAGAGGTCCATTTATCATATGAAACAATAAAACCCCTTTAACGTTGTTCTCTCTTTTGAAACCAATTCTACATTAAAACTTAATATCTAAGGAAGTTTTCTGGAAAGTTTCAGATTTTCAAACTGTATCATCAAAAAGTTTTACCAGACGCACGAGTATCGCATCACCTCATTAATACATAGTACTGGTAGTACGCGAAAGAAAAATGATTTATATATGCTGAATGCTGAGAAACGTATAACCCTTCGTTAGTCGATTAAACTCAATTATATTTACGATAGTTTGACAATTTTACGTCAATAGTATATTTGATAAGAGTGTTTATATCTTCAGCAAATAACGCTGCTGAAGTAATTTTTAAAATATACTTGATTAATAATCGATAATTAGTTTGTTCTTTATTGTTATAACAATATATTAACATTCACAGTTCATAGTATGTACTTAAAAAGCAATATTAGACTATAAAATCATCCAAACATTTATGCTCTGGAAAATCGTTATTTAATTGAGATTCGTTTATCTTTTTGGACGTGACTTTTATTGCTACATGATTCAGAGCATGTACATACATTGCAGCAGTCTAACTTAGAATCAATGCATGGACACATATAACTTTTGCAGGTTTTTTTTTTCTATCGCAGTATTTCCTTCGAAAAAATTCGGATATAACTTGTTGAATCCATCCATACTTCGTTACTTCATATGAAGTAGTTCCTGGCAAAATAGACCTTATATGTTATTTTAATGCGATTTCGAGGGACGCCATTTATCTATAGATGTATTTTTTTAGATAGATAAATTGAGCCTAATTGAGTTTACAATGTATCTGCTTTTGATTATTTCGGAGGATCATAGGCTGAAGCTAGGAAACAACTAATATTTTTTATAGTTTTTTCTATCGGTAAATGTGTAGGGATCGAAATGATATTCGATGATTCGATTTGATATTCGACTAGAGTTGATTCGACTAGACTCGACCCAATTCGACTCATTCGATTCTGTTCGATTCAAATCACCGTTTCGTCCATAACCCGATAAGAAAGCTATGCTTCCAAAAAGATATTTTTATAAATATATAAACAACTATCAAACTATCAGAGGGTTAATGTTTCTCATGAAGATGAAATCATTTTCCGTGGATATCACACGTGGACAAAAATAGCTATAACTTTTTAATCATTCAATTTGAAAATCTGTAACTTTTCAGAAAACTTCAAGTATTAAATTTTAATGTACAATCGGGTAAAAAGGCAGATTCAAGATTTTGTAACACAGAGTTTAAATCCGTTTATAATGAGCAGCACTAAATACAATAAGTTATTTTCATGTAAACTGAGTAATTTACAGCTCGTAAAAAATGGACTCTTCGAATATTTTAAAGGAAAAAGGGTAGTATAATTAATCTAATATCCACCAGATTTAAAATTAATCGTTTTCCTTCTATATTAAATTTTATTTTAGTATCCTTCATTAGATCCAGGATTTTAACTGGTTTAAAATGCATTATTATTGAAAAAGTTATATTAAATGATATCGTTTATTTTGTTTCCTAGGTTTTCAAAAAATTTTTTAAATAACTTAAATACTATAATATATACCTAAAAATGATAATGTAGTTCTTTTTTTAATATATATTTTCGTCTTCTATAAACTTCTGTATCGTAAAAAGCAATGGATATAATATCACGGATTAAAATTATGTCTTGGTGTGAATAACTCCTGTTTTGAGTGCTTCAAACCTCAATTTTTCAAAATTAAAAGATAGTTTAGGTTTCTAATGAGCCTACCCTTCTAGCCCTTAAAATTATCTTTCAAATGGCTATACACATATACACATATATCAAAGCTTGAAAACTAACTGACTTATTGAAGAAAAACCAATGACATTTTTGGGAGATAATTTTGGAGCTTGAAAAATATACGTATTTTGGAGCTTTTAAACTTCGCATAATAGTTTTGTAGATGAATATATCGGCACCAATAAATAATATTGAAGTGATATATGGTTGAATGCTCGAATAAATGAACTTTAATCAAATAGGCAGATATTTAGCACAGTTATCGAGCACAGTTTTATTAAACCTTGCCCAAGTACTTTCGTCCTAGAGCATCTTTAGGGGCATTTCGTCAAAATTAGGCTATTCAACAATGTTATGAATGAAATGAGGTTGAATGCTCGAATAAATGAACTTTGAAAATAAGGCTATTATCGAGCACAAGTTAATTAAATCAAGCCCAAGTACTTTCGCTTATAATAGCATCTTCAGGGGCATTTCGTCAAAATAAGATCTATCCAGCAAGCGTAGGAAGTGGAAACATTAAAACTAACATAAATTATACAAAACACTACACTAA